CACCGCGCGGGTGCCCGTCACCTGTTGGGCCCCAGAACGGCAGTTGGGGCCGGGGCACCGTTGCCGAAGGGGGCGGCGGCGGCGGGGGGGGTCTCAGCGGCGTGGAAAAGCCACCTGAGCTTGGAGGATGCAGCCCCAGAGCCAGAGCCAGAGCTGTCCAGAAGGGTCAGCCTCCGAGGCGTGGGGCAGGGGGAGAGAACTGAAACCGGAAATGCCTAGCTGTGAAATGCGGGCAGTGGGCACTGGGAGACCGGCAAGGCTTGCCAGAGTGCCTCCTCCCGGGCAGTGGTTCCTGAAGGAGATTATGCCGGTGCCCTTCTCTGGTTGTGGGGCGCCAAACGCCACTGCCATAGTCCTCGAGGGAGCACACCGCTTTTTAATCCCTGTGCGCACTGTTTTTAGCCACCGGATCCCCTAGAATGTCTCTGAATAGCCTGTGGGGTGCACTCCCACCTCTGCAACCTGTGCACGCATGTGCATTTCCGGGTGAGGTCGAGATGGGCCGCAAAGGGGTAGCAACGTTTGGCTTTGCAGAGTTGTCAGCGCTGGAAGTGGCCTCGGCAGGGCATCTAGAGCCATGGATCCAGGCCCCAGGCTGAGGAGGCTGCTGTAGGGGAGGATCTGGAGAGAGTTTTTTTGCTGTGAAAATGGTGGGTTTCTAGTCCTCATGGAGGAGCTCAAGGAGGGGCTTAAAAATGGCAGGAGGAAGGGAATTACTGTAGATCACTGTGCTCATTTTTTGCTGTGGCGAGGCAGGATTGTGGCTCGATTTCCCAAGCATACCTGAATGCCTTTACTTCATCTATCGGTCAGTCTAGACCAGTGTTTCTCAACCGTGGCCACTTGAAGAGGTGTGGACTTCTGGCTGGGGAATTCTGGGAGTTGAAGTCCGCACCTCTTCAAGTGGCCAAGGTTGAGAAACACTGGCCCAGAATAAGGGCACATAACTGGCTGGTGCCGTGGAGTTCAGCTGTTCAGCTGTGAGGTGGGGAAGTGAAATGATTGTAAAGTTGGATTAATGCCGCAGCTCTTACATTTGATTGAGGAGAGACGCTTGGAATGCTAAAGGGAACTTTGTGGGCTCCCGAATGAGCTGCTTGTCTGTGTGGGGTTTGGCTGGAGATTGGGGGTGCCGTCGTCCAGCACGTTGCGGGTGAGGCGGCGCAAATAAATGCAGGGTTTTTTCCTTTAGCGCAGACCGTGTTGTCAGTCTGCGAGCCAAGCCGGTTGGCAGCGGGCATAGGCTGAGGGCCTCCTTCCCCGCTGCGTTCCCGTCTGGCGCGTCTCTTGCCAGCCCGCGGACTCCCTCTTGCTCCACCCCAGGAAGGCTTCCAGATCCCCACCGCATCGGATCAGAGGGGCCTGCGGCTTCGGAGTGCGGAGCACGGAAAGCCTGTGATGTGAGCTGAAACGCAGGGCCTGGCTGCGCTCTGGTCCTCGCCCGCCTAGCCAAGCGGGGCGCCCCAGCTGCCGATCCTGCCTGACGCCGGGTCCCAGCTGTGCTCCCCAAAGAGCTTGGGAGTCCCGGCTCCTCCTTTCCGTATGTGTCTTCCCTGAGCTGGCATCTTCCATGTGTGCTCGCTCCCAGCACACCTGAAAGGTGCCCATTCGGAAGGCGGTGCCCAGCGCTCCTGGGGGGGGGGAGCCGTTTTTAAGTTCGGCTTCCTCCCGGCTCTCCCGGGGCCCCTCCTGCTTGGGGTGCCCCTTGCAGCTGGGAGCCAGGAAGCCTAACCCCAACGCTCCTTTGCACGTGGAGACGCGGCCTGGCGCGCTCTTGCCTTCTCTGCTGGAGCGAAGGGCGAGCGGGAGCGACGGAGGAAGGCGCCCTCGGCCCCTCGCCTTCCCACTTCCTCCCTGGAGCCCGGATCCATCTTGCTCTCCGGCTTTTTCATCCCGTTACCGGGGCAACCGCCTCCCGGAGCATAGAGGCAGTGTGAGTGAGAGAGAGTGGCCCGGTCGCCTTGGCAACCCCGTCGTTTCGGCTTCGCTTGGGCGGCGGGGGGCCGTGGGGGGACAGGGCCACCCCACCCTTATCCGCAAAAGGGCCGCGACGGCTCTGCCGGGGAGAGGAGGGCGGAGATGGCTGCCAATCCTGGCTCGCCTGAGTTTGTTCTCTCCCTTCCAACCCCCCAGAAGCGTCCTGGGCACCGGGGGGTGTTTTCCTGCCCAGCGGGACAGCAGCTCCCGTCGTGCTCGGGTGGGGTGGGAGGCGTTCCTGCGAGGGGCACCCGAGGAGAGATGGGCGAGGCCTCTCCCTGTGGTCATCCTGGCTGCCTGATACTGCTGCGGGACCCTTCCCACTTGGCAGGGGTGTGCGTGCATCCCTTCACCCCCCCTTTGGCACCTGTAGGCGTTTGGGGCTGCAGACGGGGGTGGGGAACTGCCAGGGCAACACGTCCCCCTGCTTCCCCTGCTCATCTCGCCTCCTCTTCCCTTCTCTGCCTGTGCAGCCCCCAGATCAGCCTTCCTTCTCCGCCCCATGCCTTGGGAATTCTTGGGGCCCAGGTTGCAATGTGGGGGGACCCCTTTAGGGGCCCTTCGAGGCGGCTCAGGAATGGGATGGTGAGCCTCCTGCAGTGGCACAGGAGGGGGGTTGAGCAGAGATCCAGAGATCCAGAACGTGCTCCCATCGAAGGCCTCCACGTGCCAGTAACAATTTCTGCCTCTTGTTCAGCCCCCCCCACCATGCCATTTGGAGAGAGAAGCACCTCTGCCGTGGACGTGGACGTGGCAACCCTCAGTTTTCAGCAAAGGGAGCTGGGTCCTTTGCCGCCTGAACGGGAGCCAGGCTGGGGACGAGCAAAGGGGAGACGCAAGGGGCAAACTCAGGCTGCTGCTTCCATCTTCTGGGGGGCTGTTCTGGGGTCCTCATCTCTCTGCTATCTTTCTGACTGCAAGTAGAAAAGTTTTTAATCCAGGCTGACCTTTGGGTTGTCAAATGGGTATTATTGCTGTATTTTTTATTACCGCAATCGCGTGCAAGTTCTTGCACACTTTTATCTGTCTTGAACACTGTTTGATGGAAAAGCAAGATATTATACCTGAAATCAGTTGTCATCATTTCCTTTTGCTCCCTTTGGATTGCCTCCAAGGTCACGATTCTCTCTCACTTGCCCCAGGCAGGATCGTGGCTAAGTGAAAGGGGCTGCTGGCCACCCCCCTGCCCCCCGAGCTGCCATGAGTGAACTGGAACAGTTGAGACAGGAAACTGAGCAGCTGCGGAACCAGATCCGGGTGAGTAACTTGGAGAAGGAGTGGGGCTGCAACAGGGTCCTGGCCCTCGCTGGGGTGGAAAATGCATCTTGGGAAGCCAGGAGACAGCCCTCAGGGCACGCCTTGTGCTCAGATGCCACCCGCGTGGGCAAAGGGTCCGCTGGCCTGTGTTCCCTAGGAATGGGAATGAAGGGGGGCGCTGGGTCTGGGAGGAGCAGGGCCTTCCTGGTGGGGCAGAGAAGGCTGCTGAGCAGCGTCATCGAAAATCTGTGCTGCCCAGGACTGAGCCTCCTCTTCCTCCTCTCGCCCCACAGGACGCGAGGAAAGCATGTGGCGATTCTACGCTGACCCAGGTGAGGCGAGCGGGCTTGGGGGAGGGTCCCTCCTGGGGAGAGGCGGCGGCACCGGGGACTCCCTGCTATGCCGCCACCGCTGACCCCTCTCCCTTCCCCACTCAAGATCACTGCTGGCCTCGATCCGGTGGGCCGGATCCAGATGCGGACGAGGCGTACGCTACGCGGTCACTTGGCCAAAATCTACGCCATGCACTGGGGGACAGACTCCAGGTGAGAGTGCCGGACAGCTGCCCGCGAGATGATCGGCACCCTCCCTCCCAATGAAGGAGGGGTGGAGGAGTTGGATGCGTCTTCTCCAGTGGTCCCCTGTCCCTGCCCCCAGCCATTGAGGCTCCCCCCACCCCCAAGCCCTGTTTCCATCTGCGCTTCTGTCCCCTGCAGACTCCTGGTTAGTGCCTCTCAAGATGGCAAACTGATCATCTGGGACAGCTACACCACAAACAAGGTGAGGCTTGAGGCTGAAGGGCAGCTGGAGAAGGCAAATGCTCGCGTTGTGGCCTTTGGGCCCCTCCCACACAATGCCATCTTCCTTTCAGGTCCACGCCATTCCGCTGAGGTCGTCGTGGGTGATGACCTGTGCCTACGCTCCATCGGGGAACTACGTGGCTTGTGGTGGGCTTGACAACATCTGCTCCATCTACAGCCTCAAAACCCGCGAGGGGAACGTCCGGGTCAGTCGGGAGCTGCCAGGACACACGGGTGAGGGAATGCCCTCCCTTCCCCAGGGACGATGGGAGCAGGGCTCCTCTGGGTCCCTTCCCTGCTCTACTTACTAACGAGCCTGGATTCTTCTTTCCAAGGGTACCTCTCCTGCTGTCGGTTCCTGACCGATAATCAGATAATCACCAGTTCAGGAGACACAACCTGGTGAGTGGCTGGACTTTGAACCGAGGGGGCTCCAAGCAGGCGGGGACAGTTTGTGTTGTGTTACTTACTAGGCAGGTTTTTGAGCTGTCATTGTGGCTAAGACCGCCGTAGGAGGGAATAACAATACTGTGCCATGGCATTCCTAGTTTTTTAGAATTAAGAAAAGTCTGCAAGAAAACACCCCGTTCAATAAAGTTCAGCCAGCGCAGAACAATTTCCCACCAGCTCAGCCGGAGCAAGTCCTCTGGACCCTTCTGGTACGGTGCAGGGCTGTCCGGGTCCCCGGCGTCCAGCTTGGCTGAGAGTATCGTACCCCAGAGAGTGGTCCAGGAGGAAAAACCTGGGTTCTGAGGCTGGGTGGGATGCACGCCTGACTGCCTGTCTTTCCTCCTTGCCAGCGCCCTGTGGGACATTGAGACCGGCCAGCAGACCACCACCTTCACAGGCCATAGCGGAGATGTCATGTCCCTTTCCCTTTCCCCCGACATGCGCACCTTTGTCTCGGGCGCTTGTGATGCTTCAATCAAACTGTGGGACATCCGAGACAGCATGTGCCGGCAGACGTTTACAGGACACGAATCCGACATCAACGCCGTCTGTGTGAGTGGACAGCCTGACCAGGGAGGGGGGCGGGTGGTTTCCAGGGGCCCAGACTCGGAAGCCGCCATCTGGCACATCGTCCGGTCCCTGGACGAAAGCATTCCCAGGGAAGAAGAGCCCATCCATTCTCCAGCTCACTTCTATGAAGTTTTTTTCCCCCCCCTAATGTTCAATCCGGGTCTCCCTTCCTGTAGCTTAAATCCATAATTCCCACTTCTGCCCTTTGAAAGACAGAAAACAAAGCTTGACCTTCCTCTTGAAAAGTCCTCTCTGCCATCTTCTCGTGGCTAATGCACCCAGTTCATCGGTCACTCGTCGTGTGTAGCGTCTAGTTCTCTGATCGTTCTTGCGGGTCTTCTCCAAACTTGTTCCAGTTTCTCTAAATCCTCCAAGTTGAAGTCTCACCAAAGCAGAGCAGAAGGGAATGATTACCTTACATGATTTGAAAATTAGGCTTCTGTTGATGCAACCTGAAATGGCACTTCCCTTTTCACGCCGCTAACTCGTCTGTAGTCAGCCACTCTCCATTTCCATGCCAGGAATTCCCTATCCTATGGTTGTGCATTTCTGTTTTATAAGTGAATTATTTTGCATTTGTCTAGTCCAGTGTTTCTCAACCTTGGCAGCTGTAAGATGTGTGGACTTCAACTCCCAGAATTCCCCAGGCTGGCTGGGGAAT